GTTGTTGCCTTTTCCTTCATTGGTCCGGCGCGCGGGGGCCCCGTAACAAAACTATATAGTGTTCGAATCATTAGATATTCTACATTCTTTTTAGCTTATTCAAGTGGTTAAAGATGAAAATATCTTACGTGTCCACTTGTTGCCTAGTGAATGCTTATGGTTCTAGACAAAAGGAACACTTCGTTTGGCAAAATTTTTTTAATTCTTCATCAAATAATAGGATAGACATTAAGATTTTTGGTTTTGAGTTTTGATTATGTTTTAGACACATAAGTTTTATTTTAGACTGTTCATAACAAAAGTAACATTATCGTTGAATATTAATCACGTGAAAATATTTATTTTTTTTATACTTTAAAAATTAAAAAACAACATATTAAAGTGAATACAAAACATATGTGTTTTAAGAAAGATTCTCTCATCGTGCACAAATATTATTTTCATTTATTTTATGTGTCATAAGAAATTTTTAACTGAAAATAGATTTATGTTTATCTGTCTAAAAAGCAATAAAAGAAGAAAATAAAATTTTCAGTTACATTTTTCTGAAAATAAAACATATTTTGTGTCTCTAAGAGACTTTCAATTTTATTGATGTTTTGTTGACGTGAGTAATTTGAAAGTAGGATACAAAATCAATAAAATAAAAGATCAAATTATTCTAATTATTGATAATTGAACATGACCATTTTGGATAATATTGAATATATATACACACACACAAATAAAACCTGTTGATCTCAAAAAAACTAAATGAATGACTTTTGAACGCCTTGAGGAATCTTTTTCTAAGTTTTTAGATGATGGAGAAGCAGAAAAAAGAGAAAAAAAAATAACGAAAAAAAAGTAGCATGTTAAAATAGCAATACAGAAGAGGAAGACAATAACTTTGTTGTTGTTTTTATGGATAATATACTGTGTACATAGAGAAATATTATTTAAAATAGATCGACGTGCCATCGTAGTTTTTGCTACATAAAAGAATTCTACAAAATGAATTTCGAAAAAATAGAGATTAGTTAGTCGTAGAAGAAATGTTGGATTGTAAAAGAATTTACTATTTTCTCGCGTTCATCTCGTTTATGGAATATGATGATAATTTTTGTTTTTACAGAACAGAACAAAATAAAAGATAAAAAATTTTTTTTTTCCTCAATTACGTTTGTAGATGTTCTGTTAGTCTTTGATCACAGATGACTATAGAACAAGTAGTGAAGAATACAGACGTGAGTTTTCTCAACGATGAAAAGGAAAAAAAAAAAAGCTAGAAAAAAGTCTAGTACGTGGGTAGAGCACGACTACTCACCCACCATTTGTTTTAATAGGCATTTTCTTGTTTCTTTTGGAAATGTTATTTTTAAATTTAAATTTTGTTGCAGATTGAGGCTTTATAAAAATGTGGCCACAATCTTATATTTTGCTATGGTTTCTTAGTTTCATAGGAATCATTTTGACTAGTGTGGAGTATACTTATAACAACCGTAATGATAATTTTGAACCGGAACATTCAAATGAGTGGGCAGTACTGATAAAAGAAGGTCAGTTAAATAAGACATCATTTTATCCATTTTAAGATCAATAATAAATGATTATCTGTTTTTGACAGGTGACAATGTCGCTGATCTTGTTGCCAGTGAACTTGGATTGAAAAATAAAGGAAAGGTATGTTAAAAACATTGTTTTTGAAAAATATACTTCGTTAATTATATTCTTCCTTTAATGTACTCAACAATCTTTTACATGTTTTTCTACAGATATTTGAAAATGATGATTATTACTTGTTCGTACATCCTCGAATAGAGCGTCGCTCGAAACGTGCTGCTCATGATACTACAGCATCTCTTTCACAACATGAAAAGGTGATATAATCGTCTAGTTTACATTAGAAAAATTAGAGAAATTAAGTTTTTTAGGTTTCATGGGCCGAACAACAAAAATCACAATATCGTGTTAAACGAGATTTGATTGATAAACGTGAAGATGAAGATCGAATATACAGATCGATATCGTTTAGTGATCCTAAATTTGATAAAGAATGGTATTTGGTAAGCTAAATTAAATGATTAAATTACTTGATATTGAATAATTTTATTTTGTTTATCTATAGAAAGATACGAGATCAAAAAGTTCACTTGATTTACCGAAATTAGATTTACATGTCGTGCCTGCTTGGGCAGCTGTAAGTAATCTTTTTAATTAATTAGAATTATTTAGCAATACACGTCAATCTTTCTTAATCTAAATCTTTTCATATACTAACTTACTTATATATTTGAATATTTTAGGGTTATACAGGCAAAAATATCAAAGTTACAATTCTAGATGATGGTAAGGAAAAAAGATGGTTCATAGTAAAACCTCTTGTATCCAAGATCTTGAAAAAACGCCTGGAAGATCTTAATCGATTTTAATTAGAATATCAGAAGTAGAAATTTCAAAGTTATTCTGAGTATAAAAATGTTCATACATATATGCAGACAAGAATGTGAAATAATAATATAATTCAAGGGGTTATCAAGATCTTCGTTACTAGACGTTTTACTAGAGTTTTATTTTTTGTTATTTGAAAGTGGCATCTAATTATCTATGACTGATATAACATTACCTGTCAAATTAATTGATCACGCTGGATTAACCAATGTTAAACTGCTCTCTGAAAAAAGACGTTTGTGTACGAAATCTAAAAAAATATAGAGAAGTGCAACCATTTCTAAACTTTTGTAGGTTTCATAGAAGAAAAGTTAGGGCACAAAACGTGACTAGGGGGGAAAACGTGACTTTTCATCTGTACTGTGCTATGTAAGATATTCTAATCCTTCATATGGTTCTTATGCATCATTAGAAGACTAACGATTAGCGAAGAGATCGCTTCGAATTGCATAGATCTTACAGTAGAAAAAAACAGAGAACACTACTGTGGGTCTCCTTGGACCCACAAACACCTCCGGAGGGTTAAACGGTTTCGTACTCGATCTTTTCTTCTACGACACCTAAAAGGGTTTAGAAGTGGTTGCACTTCTTCATACTCTTTTATGTTTCCACAACCCTTTTTTAGATAGTAGTTTCACTGAATATTAAAAGATTTATATTTTCTTCACAACAGCTTTGAATGAGTTAAAAAACGTCGAGTATATCTAGTTTAAGTTGTTCTGCATAATGAGTACGCAAAAAATCTGATGAAATTGTTTCCACAGGCAGAATCTCTGAAAAATCTTGTTGATTCTAAACTCTAAAATTTTTTTTATCAGGTTTTTTTGCCGTTTATACCTACGAGACACTATGATGAGCATTAGCTTGCTGTTTTGCTATGTTTGTTAGTCGTACAATTTGATTAAACTTTCTGGACTGTCCTGTTTAATTCATTGTTTATTCTAATAGGTCTCGAATGGAATAACTCAGACATAATCGGCAACTATGTGAGTAGCATCATCTATGAAAGGTTATTTCTTTAATTACGGTTGAGATATTTATATTTAGGATCCAAAAGCAAGTTGGGATTTAAATGATAATGATGATGATCCATCTCCACGTTATGATCCTACAAACGAAAACAAGTATCTCAATTGATTTTCTCTTATTTCGTATATTTACTTTTCTTCATATTTAGACATGGAACTCGGTGTGCTGGAGAAGTTGCAATGATGGCAAATAATTCAATTTGCGGTGTCGGTATTGCGTAAGAGTTGAATGGATATTTGGATCGAAAGATTATATATTGACCGGTAATTCTTTTTAGATACAATGCAAAAATCGGTGGCATACGCATGCTGGATGGACATGTTACAGACCGAGTAGAAGCCGAAGCAATTGCGTTTAATCACAAATATATTGATATTTATTCAGCATCTTGGGGACCAAATGACGATGGCCGAACTGTACATATTTTCTATTGTTCAATATAATTACCTAAAAAATTGTAATTTCATTTAAGGTTGAAGGACCAGGAACACTTGCATCCGCAGCATTTATTAAAGGAATTACAGAAGGTCGAAACGGTAAAGGTGTAATATATGTCTGGGCATCTGGAAATGGTGGACGTAGACAAGATAATTGCAAGTATGATGCTTTTTTTGTAGCAGAGTTAGCAAATTACAAATAGATTTTGGTTTAAAATTTAATATAGAAATAGTAATCAAATCGGGCTACAACAAAAAACAAAAATATAAATAAAAAATAAAATAATAAAGTTTTAACAGATTAAAGCAGTAGAGTTAAGAAGGAGATGAGAAGGATTTTCTGTGGCGACTGCGTGAGTGAGATATAAAGAATTTTTACGTAAGAGAAACAAAATGCCCGAAAGCGGCTCCTAAAACCAAAGAGTAGAAAGAATAATTTGTGTGCCCAATATGGAATTAATAGTGCACATCAGTTTCTTTCCAACCTTATGGTATTTCCTACAGATCAGAAAAAAATGATTTTATGATTCGTCCTCCCCACATGTGCATGATGGCTCAGGAATAAGGGTGTACCTAAATAAGTTAACATTCAATTGTGGAAATCCAATTCTTAAACGAGCGAAGTGAATTTTGTTAGTTCTGTCCTCACATCTAGGTGAATAGATAAATACTCGAATAGAAATTGAAGAGGAGAAATAACCAAAATCACAAAATAAAACCGTATAATATTTCGTATAAGTTATTCTATCTGTTTCCATGTTCTTATTTCAGCTGCGACGGATATACGGGCTCAATATACACAATTTCCATTAGTTCTGCATCTGAACATCAACAATCACCGTGGTACGCAGAAAAATGTCCGTCAACGATGGCTACAACATACAGTAGTGGAGCATATCAAGACCAAAAAGTAACAACAACTGATCTTCATAATCGTTGTACAGATGATCATACGGGTACATCAGCATCTGCACCATTGGCAGCTGGAATATTTGCACTTGTTTTGGAAGCAAAGTAGGTTTATTTAATCAATAATTTGCTTCTTGTTGTAATAAATGAAATATTGCCACTTTTTAGTTCAGAATTAACATGGAGAGATCTACAACATTTAGTTGCATGGACATCAGAATATGCTCCATTGTCTCATAATCATGGTTGGACAACAAATGGTGCGGGTTTTAAGGTTAGCCAATTTCTTTTCCTTGTAAAAATAAACACTAATTTTTGATTTAAGCCTTTCATCTTTGTCATTTTAGGCAAATAGTCGATTTGGATTTGGCCTTTTAAATGCTGCTGCTCTTGTTCAAGCTGCAAAAGATTGGGTAAACGATATTTTCAGTTAAATAATTTTAGCCTCATGATGTAACTATTACTTTTATGTTCAGGTAACAGTTCCTAAACAAAGCATATGTGAAATAGAACCAATAAAATTCGAACGACAGTACGTATTTTATTTAGTTTTACTTTTGCTTTTTATAACTAACGTATTGTTATTGTGAAAATAGAAAAATAAGTCCCGAGCGACCTCTTGAAATTGATTTTCCAGTCACGGGTTGTGAAGGTGAAAATAATGTTGTTCGCTTTTTGGAACATGTTCAATTGTACGTAACACTGACATATAACAGACGTGGTGCATTAAAAATTAACATTACTTCCCCTCATGGTGAATTACAACTAAATGCACGTGTTACACTAGTCTAAATAAAATTTAACCTTTTAGGTACGGAAACAACTCTGTTAGCTGAACGTGAACAAGATTCATCCAGCGAAGGTTTTAAAAATTGGGCATTTATGTCTGTACATAATTGGGGAGAAAATCCCAAAGGTGTTTGGAAAATCGAAATAATTGATGCGGTAAATTTATCAGTACTTAAATGATGACTAATTGCTAAGTACTGCTGGCTTTTTAGACGGGAAATAAAAACAATCATGGTGAACTACAAGACTTTCGATTAGTATTGCATGGTACAGCAGATATTCCGCGTCACTTGAAAAATGGGCCAAGAGTGTATGATGAAAATTACAATACTGTACATAACGAACGAAGTGTAAGTAGAAATTTGAGAGTTCATTATCTACTTTTATTTGACTTTATTTGTTCGATGTTCTAGGAACGTCTCACAAACCAATTAAATTCACAGGAAAAACATCAAATGAACGTTGAATCACCAGTCAAACGCTACAGAGAGCAAGAACAGCCGGTTCAATCGAATAATCATTGGCTAAAAGTATTGGCTAGATTAAATGGAAATTGGTTACAATAAAATGAAATATACAACATTCTAGTCAACTATGAAAAGTATCCTATGCAACAAAAATACCAAGCAGCGAATTCTACTAGTCCACCATTGTCTCAAGCGGTATTTATTAATTTTGTTCCGAAGATTATATAGTTTACATTTGTAAAATATTTATTTTATTTTTCTCTGCTTCTGTTGAAAAGTCAAAGTAATGTAAAAACAAAACAACAAAAGAAAAAAAACGTGATTGCAATAAAGAAAACGGAAAACATAGTGTGTAATTAATGACTTAAAATTTAATACAACTTCATTTTCACAAAGACATTAGATGATATTTTGATGTAACATACTACAGAAATCTTGTCCATATGTAGCTCTTCACTGATTAATAATTTTGTACATCGAATTGATAGCTTCCAAACGAATGAATGTAGATATAAGAAGTATGAATGTTATGACATCTTACTTGGTTTTTCAGATGCATTGGATTTACTTTTGCGATGGGTTGAGGATACTATACTCAAAGCTGTTGGTTCTGAGACGCTTCGGCATGATACAAGCTGTATACTGGAAAATTCAACACTCGAACTTACACACGGGCAACAACGAAAAACATAACGAAATCCATCTCTGAACCTAGAAAGTGATATACGAACAGCAGGAAAATAATGTTAATTTAAAAAATATTTATCATCTGATCAAATTAAGAATATATTCCAAAGACGTGTACTATATTCAAAAACTTTTAGACATACCTGTTATTCATCCAACAATAGATAAAGGGATTGTACATCGAATTAGTCATTGCAATCCAATACGACTAAAAATGGTTATTTACAATGTAATACATAAAATTATTTTCTATCCTTATTAAAACTTACTATTAAGTAAACATATGGCGTATATTTCCAATCGGGTATCTTCTTATAAGTTGAAGCAAGTATAAAGTAAAGTTGTTGTGGAAACCTAGTTTATAAGAAATGCAATAACATCTTGCTTCTCTTTGTATTCATAGTACTCAGCACTAACCAACAAAAGGCAAATATCAACACGACAGCGATCAGCATTTTGACGACTTTTCGTTTAGATTTGATACTCTCGCGTTGTCGTTTTGTTACCTCACCTATGGCTGTTTTTAAACAAAATTCAATGATGATTAATCTATTACCTTAAGAATAAACTAACCTTTTTGACCCCAGAGTTCAAATGCAATTCGTGTATAAGTCACGGTTAGTACAGCGATAGGAGCTATATAAGTTACAACAAAAAACATCCATTCAAATCTAAAATTAAAAACAACAGATGTGAATACAAGATTGATCTTTATAGAATATTACTCACTTTTGATGAGGCTGTGGATCGAGTACTCGACAATAACTTTCTCTAACACGAAATGACCAAGTTGCCGGTGAGCTAACCAATAGTGCTAACATCCATATAACGACAATTATCGCGATTGTCTGATTATGTGTTAATTTTGTCCGAAGCGGATGAATAATGGCGAAATATCGGTCTAAACTAATTGCCACATATGTGAGTACATTAGCTGCAATCGATACATGTGACACAGTTTGTACAGCAATACACATAAAATTGCCAAATGGCCATGTTATGTGATTTATCATATAATAGGCATTAAACATGATGTTAAACAGAGCGTTTAAAACATCGGCATAAGCCAAATTGACGAGAAAATAATTGGTAGCAGTTCGCATCCGACGATGAGCAAGAACAATCCAAATGACAATGGAATTCCCAACGACGGCCAATACAACTACCAAGGCAAATAGTGATAAGAAAATTAACTAAAAACAAAGACAAGACACATTTTAAGTATTGATAAACTATTCTAAATGGTACAAGCTACAGGGGTTGGCAAATGTCAAAAGAAGCAAAGGAGAAAAAGTGGCGATCAATGGCTTAACGGGTGGCTTTTACTAATTATTTTTCTATTGTGAGATCTACTGATATCCACTTCAGACAGGAAATAAGGTAAAAAAAATCACTATATTATTGATTTGAGTAAGTATCAGATCAGAAATAATAGTCAAACATTAAAAGAAATTTTAAATGTTTGTAAGTGTAAGGCGATAATTCGAAGTGATAGTACTATTTTCTTTTGACTTTTTTTATATATGGTTGAGTAGAGCTTTTCGAGCTAATCAAGAATATGTTAGTTTTAACCTTTTTTTAATTATTTCAAAATGTAATGCATCAAGATGCTTCTTATGTAATAGACTAAACATTTCTTCTTACATCATAAATGAACATGATCAAAAATTAGAATGCAATGCAAACATGAATTGTAATATCAAATATTTGATCTATGTAATACAATGTCCATGTTGTTCACAAACATATATTGGCGAATCTGTAGATTTGAGAGCAAGAATGCATAATCATAAACACTTTGTTCTATATTTACCTCATGATGCTCAAGAAGTTCACAGACATATAGCTTGCTGTTCTGCTGATGAATTTAGTGTGTTTCCCCTTTTCAAGATGAACACACAAGATCTGTTCATCAGAAAGTTAAAAGAACAAGAATTTAGAAGAAAAAGAAAATACCATCCATCACTAAATCCAGACAATAAAGATTAATTGACATTTCTATGACTACTATTTCAAAATTCAAAAATTCTGCTAAAACGAAAAAATATTTCATTTTTTTAAAAATTCTTTTTAAAAGTGTTTTAAATTATTTTATCGACTGAAGTGAGAGCATCAAAGTGTGTCTCGAAACGCGTATCGTACTTTCTATAATTTGGTTATATATTTGAATAAATGTTTTTTCTTCTTTTCTGTTAAATATTTCTTAAATATTAGAATACTCTACCCATACACTGATTTAAAAATATTTTTTCTCAAGAATGAACCTTTTTTTCTAATTTTTTCAATGAGAAAATTAGAAAATACGAAAAGGGTCCTAAATTTCAAAAAACCGTTTCTGCACATAAAATTCGAATAATTTTTCCTATTTTCACTTGGAAACTCTGCGGTTTCTTTTTTCTGATTCAGCACATAAAACTGAGCCTAGATCGGTTGTTTAGAGCTTTATCACATATAACATGGTTAAATCAAAAATCTATTTACCAACATAGCTTAAAGTGTGCCAAGGTTTTTTGAAAATCTACGTAGCTTTTTATATTATTGTTATAGACGGAACACTCATTTGCACTGTTTTGGATTCATCTTTGCATGGTAAAAATAATATGGAGAGATTCTTCTGAAATTCCTTTCCGTTCCTGAAAAAATGCATTTTTTCTAAATCAGAGGCAGTCAGAATTCTGCTCGTAATTCTCAATTTTCTCCATCAGAACTCAACTTTTGTGTGACAAAAATATTAGGAATCAGGATCAAAAACTGAGTCAATCAATGTGTATTTCCATCATATCCGACTACTTTAGCTTTTGTCGAATTTTCATGTTGAAAAATTACCGCAATTGTCACCAAAAAATGAAAATGAAGTAAATATTTCGAAATACACATTAGTGACTCAGTTTTTGATCCGAATATGATCTTTTTATTACATACAAGTTGAGTTCTTATGATTGAAACAATGATTACTCGATCATTGTAACAATAGAAGTAACCTTTGCCCATCCGCGGTGTACAGAAAGATTCTGTTAGATCTCCAGATCTGAACTGTTGATTTATTGCACGATTGTATCTGATGGAGTCCTGTCATTATAATACGTTGCTATTATAGCGTTGTTCACTCAAATTTCAGCGGAAAGTGGCTTCGCTTAGAATAACTTATGGATAGTTTCTTTTTTAAAAACTATTTCGATCATATTAATTTAATTTTTCCAATTTATACTACAGAAAAAGGGACAGCACTACACGGTTACATTGTGAGATAAGAGTATATGAAGCTACGCGATCGCAGATGAAACTGATTTTAATATTATTGCAGATAGCTCTTACCTGAGCCTGTAACGGTAACAAGTCGACTGTTACAATGTTATCATTCTTGGTTAAATTAATATGTTTCAGATTAATGGCTGCCTTAATGGTATTCATTATCGACAACGCTATAAAATATTCAAGCCAGTTATGATTGTTGTTACTTTTGCTCTTTTGTTCATGACGCTTCGATTCTGTCGCGTATTTAGATGCATGAATAGAGACTGATTTTCGTCTCTGCAGGGTTTTTCTTCTTCTTTCAACAAATAAACTCATTTTACTTTCTTTTCTCTCTCATCACTGGCATCTCTCTCTCTCTCTCTCTCTCTCTCTCTCTCTCAATACTAAATAGCAACGTTTGACATATACCGTAATAGTATGCAGTAACTGTTTAAAAAGAATTATAAAACGGTTTTCTAAGATCTCATTATACTTTGTACAAAGTTGATTCAAATGGAAATTTCCCAAGAAAGAAATCTCTTTTTTGTTACTAGAAGCTGAGGGCGATGATTGAGTAGGAGAGAAGAAAAAAGAGAGATGATCCATTTGATGTGAAAACACATCAGAAATATTTTTTATGTGAATTACTATTGTTTAGCACACGAAGATAAAATATTTTGATGGGACCTTTTAAGACTTCGATCTTTTCTTGCATGTACCATATGTGAGAAATAGATCATAATATAATCGAAGGATATAGATCTGCAAGCATTTTTAACAGAAATTTTTTTTGTTTGTTAGGTATTCGCTTACGCTTATTATTTTCAAAATAACGATCTGTGACGATAAATAGATAAAAGCAGATTTTTTGTTTTTAAAAGTTTTTTTCCTGGTTTCTCTAGAGACATGCAATCTCGTCTATACGAATTTAAATATTGGCATTTTCAATTTTTTTGCGAAAGAAAAATGACAAGATCGAATTCTTCCTTTCGGCGATAATTTAAACCACTTTGTTTCTTTCACCCCTCCAATTGACAACTTAATTTTCTTTTTAAACAGTTAATGTAATTTATAGATTATCCACACGGACTGATATTTTCGAGGCTTTTTTGGGCTTTTATCTAGAGAACGGTACGAGCTAGAACGGTAGTTCTTGAGTCCCTTTTTACATAACACTTGATAATTTAACTGAAAACACATCTGAGAGGTTATAGGCCAAAGTATATATCATAAAGAATACTACTGACTCTAAATGGACGCAACTTTGTGACTTGAGACGGATATATTTTAGTTCATCTATAGAATTTAACACAAAACATAAAAATGATGCTAAAAATCTGGATTATACAGAAGAAAGAATTCCCAATACATTATTAATAGGCGTGCACCAATAATGGGTTCTTGATCTAGGCTAGTGTAGGCGTCGCCCGGTATTGTTTTAGTTTCTTCAGTAAACTTTGTTTGCTAACACTCCGTTCATTTTCGTTATGTTTTTAAAACTATCTTCATCTGCACACTGTGTTGGATACTTTTATGTGAAGAGTGTTATTTTTTTGTAACAATAGTGGTCAAAAGCAGTTACACGTTGTTTCGTTCATGTGAGATCTTGGGAATGTTTTAAGAGTGTATGTAAAAACGAACTAAACACGAACTAAAAAACGACATTGTTTCATCCATAACTTGTACATTTTTGCAGATAGTTAAAAATCATAAACTTTCTGATACAAAGACGAGAAGTTTAAGGCTTAATTTGAACAATCGATCCTAACGGTGTTTTCTAATACGAATCAATTTACTTTTTGCACTAACTGTTAATTCTGAAAACTATAAGAAATGTGATCAATTATGAGCGAAAAAAATTATGTGTCTCTGGATCTTTGAGCTTTCGAAATAGATATTGATAAAGACCGATTTTAGCCGAATCGATGCCGAGAAAAATCGATATCGATGCATGCCTAACTATTAAGTCACGTTGTTGAAGTCACAAAACAGTTCATGTCAACAATTAAGATCTTTGCATAATAGCAACATCGTATCAGCTTTGTCATTGCTATCAGCACTTGAGAAAAAGTTTTTAGAAATGCGATGCATAAGAAAAATCAATGATCAGAAGCGCTCGATTTTTGTCAACAGTCGAACTGTATTAGAGAGGAAACTATCTGTTTTTTTAAGGTACGAGAATTATCTATCAAAATCTTCATATTCTTCTTATATCAACTGATGCTACATTTGCAGGCAAGAATAACTCGAATGACTTTTTGTTGCGATGGTGTGGCTAACTGAAATAAATTAATCTTAATTCAACAGATGGTCCTGTTTCTGGCTTAAAACATTTACTGAAAACTCTTTGACAAGATCCGCTTTCGTAGCGTCCGAGCTTTATTTCTTCTCGTCAAGGACGACTGAAGTAGGAAAAATGTTTTCCCCTTCTGTCACACGATTATAAAAATCATGAGACGATGCGAAATTTTTCGTAAAAATGTGAAACTGATCTCTTTTGTAGAATCTCAACTTATTCAACGCTTTTTTCTAATAGAATAGTTTTTGAGTGAAGAAAACGACCAGATCATTTTTGGTTTAAAGGAATAATTAGTCGCGATGCCGGCAAAATACATAGTGCTGTTTACTGTTTAGATGGACAGGAAAAAATAGCTTTTCCCGAAATTTTCTGACTCTTGCTTGGATATACCTGTCAACACTCGTATCGACGAGCAAGTTGCGCAAAGTAGAATCAACGGTGCTCATAAGAAGAAAAAGAAGACAGAAAGAGGCTTATAAACTGACCCAGTTTCACCTTTTGAAAATCTCGAATTGTCTTCGAAACAGAATGAGTAGAGAAAAGAACTAGTGGAAATTGACGTCACAATATGTTGTGATAAGGCTTAGTAAAAGTGTTGAAAAGAGATCAATCAGGAAGAAGCTATGAGAAACAACGGAAAACACTATCGAATTTTAGACGAACGATCATACCTCCTTTTGGATTAATGTTCCCTGACTTATTCCTTTCATGTCAAGACAAAAAATATCCTATTAAGGTGACTTCCGAATTAACGATCGCATCCGTTAAAAATGTGTCTTAAAAACAAATAATAAAAGTATTATGGGTGGAAACAAAAGCCTTCGCAGTATCAAGCCTGCTCCTTAAACCTTCAATATTGTGCCACAAGACTGACAGAGGTATATTAAAAGCGGACGATGGAACAAAAATAATAAGCGGAAAAGATCCTTTTTCCCATACGCATCTTTTCAGTTTACTTGTAATTTTATCGTCATCTTTATTCGGGTTAATTTGTCATATTTCAAGTGCTTGGCGAAATCAACGTCAAATGTACCTTTGTGAGACTGTTTGAAAATGTAGCTTCGAACAATCCATTTTATTATTTAATTTTCTCTGTTAAAGGTTTATCGAATACTGATGGGATGGTGAGCAAATAGTTGCGTTCAACGCATGGATACTTTCGCTGAATGAATGTAACTATAGTTACATTCATTCAGACGGCTGGCAAAATGGAATGATTATAGTCATTTCATTTTGCCAGCCGTCTGATGTGACTTCTCATATTTCCATAAAATATTCTTTGTGATATTATATATGCTTAGCATATATAAAAGAAGCATAAAATTAGCATTACGAGACAAACAGTCCAACTTATTATATTCGATAATTTGTGTGGAAAATCGCTCGAACAACTAGGCATTATTTCCAAACGTGCGTTTGTTGTCGGCATTCATGAATCAGATGATCACATGTTACGAACTATCGTCAACTGCTCACGACGACGTCTGATTAGCTGAGCGAAGGTAATCAATGATACTTTCCGAAAATAATGATAGTAATGCATAGAATGATTAAATTCAATCATACACTGTAAAAAATAGTGTCAAAATAAGTGTTTTTTATGAAAACTGTTTTGCTATAAAACTCATGGCTAAACATAGCCCTTTCAGGTATAAAGAAAATAAATCACTTTTGATCTGCTGTAAACTAGAGCACTTCGTGAAAAAATGCGCTTTCAAAGTGATTGCAAAGAGAGCAGCATTTTTAAAAATGTATAGTAGAAACATGCTTTTGAAGTGACCCAAGAGAAAACACTGTGACAAACAGTGTGGCATGAAGCATTTTTTTGAAAAGACACTTTTTGAAGTCATGTTGACAAGTCATTCACCTCTTTTATTTTGCTATTACTACTGATAGTATAACGCTGATTTTCTTCGAATAACTTAGAAATTTGTCTCTTGAACGACTATACAAGTCATCGAAGCTTGTCTCGAAGAAGTAGACTTAGCCTATGGATTAGTACTAGTGACAGTATCAGGCTTTTGAGACTGGTACTAAGAATAGTTCCATGGTTCAAAGGAACCAAAAATTAACAAAATTAGAAAATCATATTTATAAATACAAAATCAAATACAATGAAATTCGACAAATGTCGTTGGAAAAAGTGGCCTAGAGAAGAGCACTTTCAAAAGCGATCTCTTGTGGCGCTGATCCTATTTATAGCGGTCTTTATTTGGTTTACTTTTCAGGTGACTACTGAGGAGCGCTTTGCAAGTGGTTTTCTTTAAAGCACTTTTCAAAGTGTTCTTCAGTCAAACACTTTAAAAGCACGGCAAAACAAGATCGCTACAAATAGGATCAGCACCATTAGAGAGCGCTTTCTTTTTTACAGTGTACGCATGATGCGAAATCCGGAGTTCAAATTTTGCCATCGCACAATTATGACAGTCGATGCTGAAAAAAACAAAATGAATTTTAATGTTTATGGATGTGGGAGAATAACGAAATAAGAGTCGACCTGATTATAAGTGAAAAAATATTAAGCAAATATTATATGAACAACTGTGAGTGAGGAACTCTCTGGCCTTTTCCTCTATGAGAAACTATCCATAAGTTATTCTAAGCGAATTTCCGCTGAAATTTGAGTGAACAACGCTATAATGACAATGCATTATAATGACAGGACTCCATCAGATACAATCGTGGAATAAACCAACAGTTCAGTTATTTAATATGACAGCTCAAAATCTGGTATGGAGTTCTTTAGAAATCTCAAAATTAGTCCTTTCTATTGAACAAGGAGGAAATAATTCTTTTACAATGGAAGAGTAACAAATCGCTAATTTAAAAAAAAGTAGTGTCAGAACGTTTTTCAAATGAATTATTAACCATTCTATAGAGGTTAACAATGATTAACAATTTGTTACGATTAAGGAGGGTTGTAGACATTTTAGGGTTTTAATTTCTCTTCCTGATTGATTATTTATTACAAAAATATAGTTAACGTTTCAGTCATAAAGTGACCCTCTTCAGAACAAAACACAGATTAAATGAACATACTATATTCATTAGTTCATAGATATATTGTTCAGAAAAAGGAAAAAGAGAACAATATATCTATGAACTAATGAATAAAGTATGTTCATTTAATCTGTATTTTCTTCTGAAAAAGGTCACTTTGTGACTGAAACGTTAACTATATTTTTGTAATAAATAATCAATCAGGAAGAGAAATTAAAACCCTAAAATGATTAACAATAAATCTCTATATACCTCGGAGTGTTCTCGACAAAATGATGTAGTTCTGTTTATTTCACAGTTTGAATTTGCTAAGCTAAGGAAATTTTTGAGTAAACACAAGGTTTTTAAAACATCATACCACCCGCGTGAATCTCATGGCATTCAAGCGAGTAAAGCAACTTGCTGTTGAATTTTACTGTCAATCTGTTCAGTCGCATCTTATACCATCTTAGACTTTTAAGATGGAGACCGAGTAGCTAATGAACTTTCTTTGAGCACATAGTAAGAGATATATGTTCTTTCTACAAATAATCCTATCAAGAAGTAACAATCACACTTGAACGTACTTGACATATGTTTTCGATTCCTAATGTAGTAACGCTAATATTCAATATATTATTTAAGGCAGTTATAGTAAGAACCAGATAAAATTTTAGCTATTACATCTACGAAAATCTCTTTTTAGTTCTCACTGAAAAAATATTCTATTCCTTCTTTTTAGAAAACGCAATGAGCTTTTTATAATCTCTAAATTTCTGAAAAAATAGTATTAAAAGGATGCTAACAGTTGCATATGACCATTCTGTTCACAAATTATATCTAGAACTAATCCAATTATATAACATTGCAAGTGTCGTCTGTCTCATACTCAGTTACAAAATAAGAGATGAGAATATATCGATATGATCGAATTTTAACTGCTGTTGGACTTTTAACCATCATTAGTCTAGTATCTGTCATTGGATACACGTTTATCTCTCCCTTGGCTCTTATATTATACAAGTCAAACTATGGTTCAAATCGTGTGTTTTGGACATCAATGTTTTTATGGTGTGCGGTTGTTTTATCCTCATTTGCATTAATTGTAGTCTTAATTATCGTCTCTGTTCTAAGATTTTGTAAACACATTTTCGTGTTATACATTTCATTATTCACCATTCTGTTTATTGGTATCATGCTCATTGTCAACGCATTCTTTCTTGCAAGTCAATATCATAGATTGTCATCAACATTTCTTAAGATAAACCGACAATTGTTCATCAGAGCTGTCAATTATGAAGGTACGAGAGAATAGATACGTTGTCAACATCCAACAACATACATCTTTTGTTTGTTTTGTAGAGCCAAGCATTATTAATTATCTCAGATTAATTGAAAAAAAATTCTCTTGTTGTATGGACCTTACCTACTCAACCACTTGGACGTATCACACAACATGTCCAATACCATCAGATGTCAATAGTGAAAATAATTTTTTCTATCATATCAATACAAATTCAGATTCGAGAGAAAATAACTTTTCTGATTCATCATTCATAACTAATCCATCGAAACAAGCGTTCAAACAATGTTCAACTGAATTATTTAGTACATTAGCTAGACAATTATTCATACATTCGATAGTAGCTTTTATTGCGGGCACCTTACTTTTATTATTTGATACACTTCTGTGGATGTTTATCAAACAACTTACAAAAAAGATAGTAATGGATGATCCCGATATAAGCATTAAAAATATGCATTAACTGTGCCGAATGATAAATGATGGAATAGCCAAATAAACAGGACAAATAAACAGTCCATAGTTTTTGTGTAGAGAGATCGTTTTTATTTGATGATTACTCAGAATTCCCGCTGTAATTAACCGTATCTCATCCTAGTATACTTCTGGGTATCAAAATTTTTAAATATCAAGAAATATTTTAGCAACTAGCGTAGAGAAAGTTTCAATGTGGGTTGCATAGTTTCTCAACCTGTGCAGAAGTATTTAATATTTGTTGGGATTCGTTGAATAATAACACAATAAACCTTACGAGACACATCTGCTTTTTCTCAGGACCACACAATATAAAGAAAATAACATCAGATTTTCAATAAACGTAAGTTGATGATTTTTATCCATTAAGGCAAGTTACGAAATAGAAAAAAACGCATGATAATGATACGAGTAAGCTTGTGTATCTTGTTAATTTCAGTTAATCTTGTAAGTAGCTCATATTATAATTCATATTCGAACCCATAATCAGTATTCTTTGTCTTTAGGTTGCAACTCAAGATATAGACTTTGGTGGTATTGCCAGTACTTTATTCACTGATATATTGACTTCTGTAACAAGGTTTGTAATAGGACTAATAGTTTTACATTACATAATGATTTTTTGACCAGAAATTCAACGTGTAATATGTGTCCACAGAAATGTGTAAGATGAATTTTATAGATGTTCATCCTTTTACTATAAGCATCAGTAGTCAAGTAAATCAAAAATTTAAACATTGACACACATATAAAAGGAGAAAAAGAAAGAAAGAAAAGACAAGAACAAGTATAGACTACGAGTCAAATTAAAAGCATACAATTTATTCCATTAAAAGAAAAAGATCAATTACAATGTTAAATAAAATTCGAAAAGTATTTTCGAATTATTATGGATGATCTATTAATTTTCTACTAACATACTGTATACATGATGTGTGAAATCTAAAAAACGTTGAAAACAAAGTCTTTCTTAAAAAAATCATTAATTTACTGTATAGTAGTAGACCTCTATTTAGTGGATATGATTCAACTGCTATTATTTTTGTTGTTCGATCAGTGTGGTTGACGCTAAGGGTGCGATACTCGACTATCCTTGAGAAGCTACACCTATAAAATGCTTATTAATGCTTGTCTGTGCGATTTTTTGGTGTAAATGGACTCCATGTATTGATATTTAGTCTACTTTAAACCACAGATGTTTACGAAGAAGACATGAGAATTAATTTAGTTTCTAATTTTAGCCAATGGGGTAATATGTCATCAGAGGACATGACGTCTTTCATCGATAAACTTCTTCAACCGGGTAATGTTTTCACTTTGAATTATTAAATTACTTTTTATCTAACATGTTTTCATTTTCAAGGTGGATTACATCATATTTGGGCTGCTCTAGATGATCATTGTAGTTCACACTTCGATTGTGGTCCGGATGCTTGCTGTTTACAACCAACTATGCAAGGAAAACGAGCCTTTACTGACTCAGGTAGATAAAAAATAATTGATTAACTGATCATATTCCATATCCCGCAGTTGCTATTTTACTGACATTCTTTTTTATTACAGGTCATTTGCACATGTCTAGTTACTGTTCACCGTTGAAAAAACTTGGTCAAACATGTTCGTTCCATCATTCTGGAGAAAAAAAGTCAACATTCAGTTGTCCATGCGAAAAAAAGGTTACATGCAAGAGTGGTGGCTCGTTTCAAATTCATCCTCTCATTACTATTCACAAGGAGGCAATGTGTGTTTGAGCAACGAATTCATTTTAGTATTCCCTATTCCAATAGCAGATCATTTGTCAGTGTAAAATACGTATCATGACAGCTTTGTTTTTGAAGTTCTAAAATACACATCACTTAATATTTGTGAATCCCAGAAAGTTTTGAATCCGTGAAGCTCCATTTAATCTATTAAAAAGTTCTCATACACTAAGATTGGTGAAATAATATGGCATTTAAGCACTTGAAAGGAGACAATTACAAGTCGCTAATGTATATGAGCGCATTAGACGAATCAAAATGGTGGCAAACTCGTCGATTTGAAATACTTCTCGAGAATTTTTGAGGCGTTAAGTCAAGAATCTAGTAACAAAAATGTGTTCAAATCAGAGATGTAACCGGATCGGCCGATTGACCGATAACCGATCCGATTAAATTCTTCGATCGGCTGATGTTCATGATCTTTTCCGATTCATTTTTTGAAAATAATTTTGCTTTCAGATGTTTTTTCGTTCAAAAAAACGTGAAAAACAGAAAAGATCTTACATGCGTATCTACATAATTGTACCCACCTCTCACCCTCTCATTAAAAACCCAGCTCTCCTATTAAAACATATAACTCTGAGGGGTTTTTATAATATAATCTAGATAAAAGAAAAACGGTTTCTTGTTCTGTTTTTGTTAAAAATCAGGCAGTAGTTCTTCTCACATTTTTTATTGGTTCTTGTGGAATGCACAGTGATGTGATTTGATGTGTAAAAGCTGTAGACAAACCTTTTCTCTGGTCGACACGAGATCTTTACTCTTTAGGTGCTCGGCTTTTAAAGTCAATACACTTCAAGACTTGGCGGCGACAGATTTCTGATCGGTCGATCCGATTCCAGTTTTTTCAATCGGTTACAATTCTTGTTCAAACGCCGTATTTAGCTCAAAACCAGGCAATATTAAGACTACCAAATGCTCGGAATGTATTAAAAGAAGGTTTCGAAGTCTGCGGATATTAGTTTTTGCTAGAAAAGTCTAGCGCATTATAATAAAGGCTTTTAATGCGTTTGAGTTCGTGCAATGTACTTACAAACGCTTTACATACATCAAAAAAGTTTTCGAATGTAAGTAAACAGCGAAATTTTTTACTAACTCCCCAAAATTTTGACCCAAATGACCCAGTATTTTTCGTCGTTGACCCGACAATATATAGAAGCTAAAAACCATTTTCTCAAAGACATATTGCGTAGAAAGATAAAAAGCAACAGAACGTAACCCGAATTAAACCCGAAAATAATTTTTCTCTAATCCAATCTTAATCGAATCAATATTTTCTGCATTAACCTGAGCCCTAGCCGTGTCCTTAGATTATAACTAACACTTTTTCGACATTTTTCATCTTCATCCTTCATTGATTATTGGTAGAGGTATTCTGGGTTATTCTCTATCATCTTTAGCATTTTAAAGCATCCTACACAACTGGACAAAATTCGTTTAATAGAATAAACTTAAGAACGATTCTTTTACGGAACGAGACGGTACTTACTATACATCTGGAGTTTGCAGATAGTCATCTCTAATTTTTTTATGTTTTCGCTTTCATTACACGACAAACGTATGACTCTGATCCACATGTCGGATAACAAATAGAACTTGTGTTATTTCTGGTGACATATTATTGTCAGAAGTGGATTATTACAGCATCGTCTGTTATCTGCCTCTGATAACGATGTATAAAAACAGAAAAGATACTAAACAATCGACTATCAGATCGAGTAGATATCCCATCCAGAGATAATAAGATGAGTTTTTTTTAATGTTCTGTATCGTTAATGGCCATCCTTCAGTATTAGTGCGCCTTGTAACAACTTTTTTACGCTGTCTTATGGCGAAGGTTTTCTGATCGTATTCATCTCCCCTATCACTGATACTGCTGGCACTCGTTCAATTTTTTACATATTGAAACAGGACATAGATATTTTTTGTTTCCTCTGATTCCATGAAATAATGTGTTGAATAGATAGTGTCTTTACAATAAACAAAAATAAAAAAATCGATCACTAATTATATTTTATTCGTGTGAAATGAATATCTATGTTTTTTTATTTTGATTAATAAACTACTAATGATACTCAAAAGTTTAGAAGAGATAAAAGAAGAAAAATAGAGTCAAACAACTTTTACTGCAAACTATGGTTAAAGATTTTTTCACATAAAAATTGCATAAATTATAATGAATAGAACGCTTGAAAAATTTTCTGATACTGATCCGATTTTGGTGAAAAAACTATTATGATTTATTTAAACTAACAAGAATTATTATTAGTTTTGAGATTTTATCAACGAATAAAACAATGTTCATCTTTCCAACTTTATATTTTCATACAAGATAATTTTTTGGGATTAGTTTTCAACTATATACGAAAAGGTCTTATCAAACATTTGAAATTTTTCAAAAATTTTATCTCATTTTTAATAATTTAATTCTAGAACACAATCTTAAAAAGGATAGAATATTTTACTTTTAATGATGAATAAAACGTTCACAAGGTATCAAAATGATTTTTTAATCATGCATGGATCAGATGTGTGTTTTTTTTTGCACTAAAACAAAAAATGTTTTTGGTAAATTTTTTCAACTGTTTTTTTAGTTTCTTGTCTTCTGGACAAGTGATAAACTGTATTCTTTCTTAATTATTCTCCCATTATTCAAGTAGATTTGATAAGTATATCATGTTTATTTTACTGAAATGGCATATAGTCTATTTATTAAGTATTTTTTGTTTTATTTTTATTTCACTAGTTTCTTTTTTGCATTATTTTCAGCCGAGGCGCGAACACTTACAACTACTATGGGCTTCTTGTAGAAAAAAGATAAGCGCTTATCTTCTATGAGTCAACACTGGAACTTTTTTCATATGAAAAAGAAATTATAATCATTTCATATTCCAAAAACTAACGTTAAATAAAGATATGATATTTCTTTAAGAGTTTCATAGACTATTGATAATGGTATCTATTATCAAAATTTACATAGTATTAGTTAAAATCATTTGTTTTTTAATTTTTTTATTATTCCCTTAAAGTGGAATAACTGCCGTTTTTTTTATTCGCTATTACGTTTGCCTTTCTACGATTGGAATAAAATTTATAGAGGGTACCACTTAAACTTTATCAGTTTGAAGAAAAGAAAGAAAAGAGAAAAGGAAAAAATGAGTGTTCCGTTTTTGTTTTATTTGCTATTGTTATTGTTCCAACATTTCTTTTTATTATCAGTAGTTATCTAATTATTTTGGAAGCGAGTAAGGATTCACGAAAATCTTGGACTATAAAATTTTTTTTTATCATATCAAATTAGAAATTAAATTTTCAGTTTTCCTATTCGTATTTTTAGACTTCTGTCATTATTTTTGAAGTTTTAGTAATTATTATAATTTCATTTTCACATTGATATTGATTATATTAAACTAACAAGAAGTATCAATATAAAATTTTGAATTTAAACTTCTCTATAGAGTAGGTGTTGTTTCTTTTTGTTCGTAGTTTGTACATCATCATGATTGATCTTTTTTCTTCCGTCAGTTCTTTTTTTTTTTTTTTATTTTTCTTTGTTATTCTTATGTTGCTTCTTCTGGTAGATGTAAATTTCGTTAGTATATGCTGATCTCACAATTTGACATTTGTAGTAGTTTCATTTCTTCCTCTCTCTTTCTGTCTCAATGTAGGCCTTGTTTACTGACATACTTTAGCTACTGTGTAGTGCAGATTCGTTTTCTTTTTTTTTATTTTGCTTCGAGGATAAAAACCATACTGCAGACTCTGTGAAATGATTAAATCTCGTAAATCTGAGAGTAAATAAAAAAAAAAAAGAATTGAACGCAGAATATCTATTAGAATAAAACGTGAAAAAAAAATATATAAGAAGAATGACATATAGAAACAACATTTGCACATAAAGAATATGAATTGAACAAGTATTGGAAGCAGAAAATTCTGCATAAAAGGAAAAATTACTTTCTTTTTTATCTAAATACTAAGCAAAGATATGTACAGCTGACTGAAAGTAATCATATGGAAACAGTTGTAAATCTTTCTGATGTTATGTAGACGACTTATGCAAACTTCAATCTTCTCTTAAAAACTAATAACGACAGTTTAACTCTAAAACTGTCTTGTCTTTTCGTTGAAATTCATTCGTCCCAGAATAACTCCTATACTAACAACTGTTTATTATGCGAATAATCCTTTTTTAAATTATGGGGCTTCTCAAAATAATCTCTGACCTTTTCGTGTATGTGTGTGTGTGTATGTTTTGTGTTGTATCTACAGTCATCTCATCTTCGTCGCATCGTTTTTGTATCCTTTTTGTATCCTTTTTTTTTTTTGCTCTTCTCTTTTTCCACCGTTTTTTTGTTTTGCCACAGGAACGTGTCTGCCATGATAAAAATGAAGCTTTTAGAAGAAAGTTGCAGAGTATACCTGTACACACATACTAATTGTTGACACGATAAAGATGTAGGAGACTATTAGTAGTAGAAGAAGAACATGACGAGAATAACAAGGGAAAAAAGAAAAAGACAATAAAATTCCGTATGAACAGTTCTTTTTGTCCTCTCTTGTTCTTCATTTGTCCTCCGAAGAAAACAAGAAAAATTGAAAGAATGTTGTGTAACAGCTAACAATATAGTTTATTCTCATCAGCAATAGTAATTCAAATTTATAATTTTGAGGTAAGCAGGATGATTTTGTTCATACTTTTGATTAAACAAATGTCATCTCGTCATTCTAGTAGAAGGATATTATTTAACAGTGTATTGTTAAAATAAATTATGTTTATTTATTCTATTTTTCTGCTAATGACTTCTAGAATTATGTGCCTTCATTATTAAAAGTAAGTAAGCACGCTGTCATCTTGATTTTATGTCTTTTTATCGTGACTCATAGATTGGTAGGGAGTCTTTAAGTGATAGATACTTAGCCATAACCAACCATATCCTTATATAATAGAGCACCATATTTGTTAGCAATTGATACATAGTAATGAATGTGTCAAGGCTAAACGTGTTTTCCTTTTCTTTTGCACGAAAGGTGCAATTAAAACTAATATTAATTTTTATAGCTGGACTGCCACTCAACCGTTATTTTATCCTTACCTGTATACTTTTTTTGTTCCAGAATAAACAGTGTCACTTTGACGATTCTACGATGGTAGATTTACTTTTAATAAGAAAAAAAAACAAAGTCAAATTTAGTAGAAAATTTTTATTCACTACAGAGATTAAAAACTTTGAAGTTTTGAGTGTATAAGAGAACCACTAAGTAATAGTGTTATATTATGTAATTATAATGATATTAACTGGTGATATAAAAATAATTCATTACCAAAGTCGTGTTTTAAAGTTTTCATTCTATAAACAAACAAACAAAAAAATGCAGACATTAATTTTCTACAAAATAATATTTCTGATTTAAAAATTAGTTGGCTTAACATTGAAAGTATCAGAGTGCCTCAGTTTTGAAAACTCTCTCATCTACGAGTCTATTTAAAGATCATATCGCGCAATAAAAGCGTAATATATTAAAATGAAATATTCGAATATATTCTCTTAGAAAGTTGTTTTGTAGAGAATTAAATTCTGCATTTATTTTCTTCATAAAATAAAGCTTTACAACACCCCTATGATGCAAGAACGTTAACTTTTAAAATTGATCAGTTATTTTAGGCCACTTGTTAACAATGGTTTACCTAATGGAATTGATATTTGATAAAGATGATCAGAAGTTGCTTTGACCTTTTTAAACAAAAGAAGTAATTTCACTCTTATTCATATATATTTTGTGTAACAAACAATCTTTTATGTTTTCTAATGACGATAAATTATAAACATTATTTTTGAGTTTGTCTAAATACATTTCAAGAATGTCTGATCATCTTGCTCGATTTCTATCTTTCTAATTGCACTTCTAAACATTCTAAGTTTGCTAGATTTTATAAAAATCTTAGTATATGGGAAAACCA